TCCAGCCAGGAACTATAATATCAACACACCGTGGGCCAACAAACATCAGAATCAGATGTCACTTAGGTAAAATTGTCAACTTTTCTCAGAGTAGAAAATCTATTTAACATGCTAAGAGTTTGAAAACTAAAACATTTACATATTAAAGAGAACTATGCAAATCTTGTATCAGTATAATAAAGTACTGGCTCAGGTTCTATGGGAGGGTGTCTATCGGTATATTGATTATATAGTAAAATTACATTACTTCTATGAAAATCTTCAATGTTCTCCAGTATTAACAAACTAATCATTATCAAAGTACCTATTTGAAATTTGTGGCCCCAGGAACTGGGATTTTGTGGGAGGGGGCAGGGATTAATAACCCTTGCACCCAGGTCCCAATTGAAACTTTACGTTTTTCACCCCAAATTAAGGTAAAAACTCCAAAATGATAAGCAGATTGATTTTTTGGTGGCTTTAACATTTTTAAAAGCTTGAATATTGAGATTTTAATGAATCAAAAAGATTTTCATAGGAAATAAGGTTTCATTGTGTCTCTATATTCATTATGGCAACAGTTAAGGACAGATGATACAAACAAACTTTTGTCAAAAAATTTGAAAATTACAACTTGAGTCATGCTTTAATGAGTAAAATGAATAAGTTTAACCACGTAGTTTTTGAATTTTTATTCAAATTCTCACAAAAATGGGATTTGAAGTGAAAAATATTTGTATAGATTAATAAGGAGAGGTAGAATTTTGAACATCATAGAAGGTTTACAAATTCTTTATATTCTAGAAATTTATTTTTTACATCATTTTCAATGAAATAAGACCAAAAAATATATACCAATCCAGACATCCATTTTTTGTTTGTATCATCTGTCCTTAATATGGGACACAAATTTTTACAGTTTAAAATTACTAAAATGAAAAAGGGGTGCCTCATCACTAAATACTATTCTCTGACAAACAGACGAGTTTATATTTGCTTAATTAATGTGTCTTTATTTTATCCTCTAGGAATAAAAACTGTTGATGAGTGTATTCTGACAGTTTCTGGGACACGGAGCCAATGGCAAGTTGGGAAATGTTTGTTGTTCAATGATTCTTTTGCCCATGGGGTCAGACATCAGGGCAGTGAGGAGGATGGTCCTCGCTGTGTGCTTATTGTGGACCTCTGGCATCCAGATATCTCCCCTCAGGAGAGAAACGCAATAGACTTCATGTTTTCTCCAGATAAAAAGTAGCCTAGTAATATTTACTTACATATGTGAAAGTTAGGGGGAAACTGAAGACTTACTTGAATTAACAATAAAAATTATGTATCAATAATAACAGTTTTGAATTTTTTTGCAATGAAGTTATCTTGGATAGAGAGTGTATATGTTTATGTCCCACTTGTATGCAAGTTTTAATACATTATATACAGGGAAATTTTCTCCCTTGTTAAAATTTTTTACACCTTTTGCCTCAAGTCACAAGAGGGTGTATTTAAAACGGGGGCAAATCACAGAAAGCAACATAGTTATGTCTGTGTGAACTCAATATGTTGGCAAAATTTGTAAAACAGTGGAGAATGGTGTGACGTCATAACTAAAACTAGATGTACTGTGAGCATTGAGCTCGCGAGGTGATAGGGGAAGTCTAATATGTCACCACGAAATTGATGTCACCATTATTCTCAGGACTGTATCAGTAATATTGATGTTGAGCATAGTAAACTGGTATATTTTCCCTATATTTCAATATTCAACTTGGATTCCCTATTGTAGCCCTGGCCTACCCCTGGGGGTCATGATTTTAACAATTTAGATTCTACACTACCCCAGGATGCTTCCATATAACTTTCAGCTTTTTTGGGCCATTGGTTCTTGAGAAGATTTTTTAATGACCCCACAATAGTTGTGTATTTTCTCTATTATCTCTCCTTGGAAGGGGACGTGGCCCTTCATATTAACAATTTAAACTCCCTTTCACCCAAGGAACATAAGAAGTTGAAAATGTGAAAAGTTTACAGATGGATGGACAGACTGACGGATGACAGACATTGGATAATCAGGTGAGCTAAAAACTCAAGATAATTCAACTCACAAAGTTTGAAGATTCTTTGCCAATTAGCTAGGACTTGATAATATTAAATATATAGCCATAATTTCAGGAATAGGTCACAGTGACTTACTTTTTGGTTGATGTTCACCTAAGACCCAAGATGCATCAATAAAATTGCATTAATTGAGACAACACCCTTTGCCCAGGGTGATGCCTTGAACAATTTTTAATCTTTGAACAATTAACATATCCTCGTCGCCCATGTGGCGCGGCGTTAGAGCGTCTGCTCTAGAGTTGATCCTTGCATAGCGGATTCGTATCCCACTTTGGGAGGTGGAGACTGGGCTTTCGGTCTTTGGATGAGACCGTATCAACCGAGGTCCCGTGTCGCAGTAGGTACTGGCACAAAAAAGATCCCTCCCTGCTCAATGACCCTGAGTGCCGAGTATAGGACAAAATTTGTAGTTCTCAACCTGCAAGTGGTGTTGCCTCCTTATAATTGAAAAGGGAGGGAACATATCCTCATCCTTGTATGCAAGTTTGGTGATAATTGCCCAGTGGTTCTTGAGATTTTTTGGCAACCAGTGGATCTTTTCACAAAACATACAACTAAGACTAGAATTTCACCACTCTGTTACTTTACTTAAAGAGGCTAGGGGGTCAACAAATTAACTATCAGATATAACTTATCTTTTTAGATGACATCTTAAGCTCTTCACAATCATTTGGCCCCAAAAAAAAAAAATTTATATATACAAATGAATGTTTTTAAAATTTGATCATTTTTGTATATCTTCATATGGAGCTCTTCTTCTAAAGGAGATCAAAGAGTCTAAAAACGGCCACAACCACCCAGCCCTCTTAAGGAGGATTTTCTTTCTAAATAACAATTTACGATGTAATCATGAAATATTGATACAATGTGATTAAAAAATAAGGGTTTTTTTTGTAGCTTAGATATCTGTTGTAGAACACTAAAAAGTTTTTTAGTCTTAGACGTAAGAATTTTTGTTAAAAAGGGACACAATAGTTCTGGTTTTATTTACCCTGATTATCTCCCCTTGTTCAGGGGTCATAACCCTAGTGAAAGTACAAATGGAAGCTTTTAGACCAAGGATGTCCAGTGACAAATATGACAATTATTGGCTACAGGGTTCTTGCCATACAGAATATTATAAAAAGTTTACACACACTTCACAAATGGCCATAGCAGGAGTTAATTGATCCTCTGGCTCAGAAGAGCTAATAGACTCAAGACTTCATTTACTAGAGTTCAGACTCATGAATACCTTTTAATATGCAAAGATTAAAAGTTTTGTTGATTACAACTTTGACTTATATGATTTCATTCTCTTTAAACACTGTTTAAAAAGACCAAGTTTTAAAATATTCGCCAATATTAGCAAAAAGAAACTTTTTCATTCCATTTTGGCCTATCAGTTGACCCTGCAAACTGACACATTTGCAAAGTATAGATTGGAACTGAAGCTGTTTCTGGATAATTACTCCCAGTATTATCAAAAAGAACTGAGAAGAATCTGCAAATGGAAATGTTTTTATTCTTGCATACAAATTTGTAATTTACATGAATATGAAAAATACCATCCCAGTGTATGTTACATTATTAAATAGTTGAGCTCGATATTATTGGTTACTCTGTAAATACATGTTTGACAATTGTTTTATAGGTGGGGACAAACTGACCTGAAACTACTTTAACAAAAAAAATACTTTCCTAATTTTCATTTCATTGAAAAAAAAAAAAACAATTTCCAACAACTTTTACATGTAAAATTTGCAAATACACGTCTGAAAAAAAACAACCTCTGGCTCTGTATATATGCCACTGAAGAGATATGTCTGATTCACAAATTCTTGTCTTAATAATAATTAAAAAAATAATTTAGAATGAAATGAATAATCACAATCAGAAGTATACAGTGCACTTTAAAAGTATTACAAGCTACAAATCGAGTACATGTTCACTATCTCATTGTTGTAAAGTGTCTAACAAAGATTTGTCATTTTCATCTGTCTAATAACACAGTCCATTTATGTTCTATGGCACCACTTGTACTTGTTTCTGTCATAAGCCGGCTTTGGAACAATGTACACAATAAATTTCAACAAATTTGGACTTACAATCCTTGATAAGTGTATAAAACCTTGTAATACAGTACAAGCACTAAGAGTGTCATATACATGAACAATTTTTTAAACAAAATTCTCCCTCTTAAAGGTAAGAATTCACCTAATCCTAAAAGGTTTCTGTGTACATAACATGATTCTGAAATTTCTTTACAAATTTACTTCAGTTTTAATACAGAAAAATCAAATTTTAGCCCAAAAAGTATGAGACACTTTCTAAAAGTAAAAAAAAACAAAAAAAAACATGATATTAAAATCACATTGAATCCCCATCTTCGAATTTAGTTTAGCACTAGACTGATGATATTAAATAAAAGTCATCAAGAAAAGCTTTTTGTCATCTTTGCAAAGTCTAGATCACTCTACGCAAATAGTGGTTTGTCAAGGTCTACTAGTATTTACTTTCTTGTTTCTGCCTGATTTCATTCAAATCCAAATCTGAATTGTCGTTGGCTTGGATTTCAATACCCAAACCCTCCCCGAGTTTCTTCTTTAGTGAATCCTTACTTGAGGAGTACATCATCTTTACTTTTATACTTGCGTTGTCTGGAGCCCTGCAAAATATAAATAAATACACCTTATTTTGTACTCAAAAATGATTCAATTTGTATGTTACACAATATTTTAAGTACTAACTGAAAAATAACAGAATATGCATGTGTTTTAGTGTAAATGTTTCATTCTGCAAATTTTTTACTTTTGTTCGGTTTATTCCTTCACATACATCCAACAACTGCCTACAGTAAATATTTCTTTTAATTCAGGGATATTTATGATATATCAATAATCAACTTTCTCCACAGGTCATTTTTCTTTCTTTTTTTAACAGATGTACAAATGTACTGCCAGGCATTCATAATCCCCAGATCTATAAATTTCTTACATCTTTTATACCCAGAAATATGTTCTATCCTGATTTAGATTTTTTGTTACTATTTATTTTCTTTTGAAAATTTCAAAAACATTTTAAGATTTTTTCCCTTACATATTCCAAACTTTGATTCACCATTGTGATCTGTCACCTGCATGACGCAGTGGTTAGAGCAGACGCTCCAGAGTCATAGAGTAAGGAGTTGATCCTCGCGTCACAGTTTCGAATCCCATTGTGGGATGTGGAGACAGGTCCTTTAAATAAGACCGTATAAACCGAGGTCCAGTATTATATTAGGTGCTTGCATAAAAAAAGACCCTTTGCTGTTTGTGCCGAGTATAGGACTAATTTGCAGCTCTCCACCAGGAAATGATGGCGTCTCTATACAAGTAAAATATTCTCGAGAGAATGTTCAACAAAACCATTGTGATCCCATTTTTTCTCTTTGGGCCACAATTTAATCTTTAAACTTTAATCTGATTACCTGATGATGCCTGCATGTTCTTATCACTAAACATGATTTCTTGACAAGTTTTTCGATATTTTTTCTCTATATATATATCTTTATGCAAGATCTGAATCCCAGGATCCCCCATTGTACAAGAGACTCTATAGAGCCTAAAAACTGGTGATTTTGTGTCTGTTGGTGGGGGGGGGGCATAATTCTGGCAATTTTTGATGTAAACAATAATTTTATGAATTTTTTATATAAATAATTTATAAAAAAAAACAATCAGTATGCAAACTCCAAATTAGAATATATATTTCAATTAGTCATAAATATCATTTTCATTAAAAAAAAAACTTGACAAGACACAGGACCAGGGGGTTAAAAATTAGGGGTGGGACGATATACCGATACACCGATACATATCGATATTTTCCTCCAAGATACGGTTTTCGATACAAGCATTCAAATATCGGTACGAAACGATACACGAACGACCTATCCAAAAATTGAAAATGAAAGTACCTGTCCTTGGAAAATGGCGGCTTGTACGAGCGAAGAGTTGATGTTGATATTGAAAACTCACTTTAGAACTAATAAGTCGTTGGTTAGGGGTAAAATGTTTTCACTTTTTCGGAAGATTTAAAAAAAAAACAGTATGTAATTGCTATACACAAGAACATTTGATATTATTAATTGTTGGTCCATCTTGTACTTTTTTTTGTAATCTCAACTTGGCTACAGACTTTCAGCAATGAATTAATAAAAATGTAAATGTGATCGATATTTTTTAACTGAATTTTTAGTCAGTGTTCTCTGATAAATTACACAACTATTTGTAAACAACTTCTGGATAGTAATTTGGTTATAATAGTATGTACATGTATAATTGTTTTTGTAAAGTTTTAGTCAATTAAATTGATGAACTTCAAGTATTAATTTCAAGGCAAACATGACTTGATATAGAATAATTTGTTGATTTAATTAATGTCAAGACAAAAAAAAAGAAATAAAATACTAATTTTTTTGAATAGTTTTATAATTTCTCATAATATCGAGATACGTATCGTATCGTGCCATACGTATCGTATCGCAAATTCCCACCCCTATTAAAAATGAAAGTTACCTTTCTAGAAAAGCTATTTTACATTAAGTACAGATCATAATTTTCATGCTCAAACTATCAGTGGTTAACCCATTATAAGGCAATGGTGTCAAATTATTTCGACACATCATTTTCTGTACAACTGTCAAACAAGCCAATATAGCATGAATAGCATGATGACTAATGCAATGATTAATGTATTACAAAGTTATTGAAAAAAAAACATTAATGAAACTTTTTGAAATTGTTAAGTGTCTGCCCTTCCTGTTGTCTGTATTACAGGGGTGTTTATACTAGTATTAAATACCAACGTCTCGATAGAGACAGCTAACATGAGGTCTCAATCAGTTCCGCGCAACATAATGGCACCGACTTCCGGTTTTAGAATAAAAAGGAGGAATTTGGCGGTTTCCCCTTAACTTACCATGTTATTAATATGGGTTTGTTATTTTCTGCTCCTGATTTGGCTTTGTAAGATAAGTCGTATACAACATATGCTCCATCCTGAGGTGGTAGCCGGGAGACCAAATCGTCCCACGTTTTACTCTTATCCCCTGTCTCCGCCACTATGATTTTCTTTTCGTCCTGTATCTTGAAAATGATATAACTATGCTCTTTGTTCTTTTGTAAAGATTGATAAACTGTTACAGCGTCATCCGCCACAGTAACTCCAGACATTCCACCACCCGGCATTTTCGAAAAAAATAGTGTTACTTGGCTTCGATAGTCGGTCCTCCCGAATTTTACGCCTCTTGCTAAAGGAAGTGGAATGTGATATTTCGCTTACACCGGAAGTAGTTAATCTCACTTGCTTTACCAACTTTTGATTTGGAATAGTTATATTTCAGCAACATTTCCACTTATATATATGTGTATCTATTCTATTACTCCATTATATGAATAATCACTTATTTATATAAATTACTAACTGAGGTTATAATTAATATGCACAAAATAACATTGTCATATCCGATCCCCTTCGAATCAAAGAAAAGCCGCATGCTCAAACCATAAAATATTTTCGACCCATTTCCATATATGGCTGTGTGACTCAGTATTGACGGTACCGTGGATAAATTAAAAAACATCCAGAAGTAAACTACCCTGAAGTTTTTGGATATATATGGAAATTTAGAAGTCACCACCGCTTTTATTCTCAACACCTTAAAAGGTTTACTCTCAGCTATCTTTAAATTTATTTGTGACGCATTACCACGAAAACTGACGTGATGATTCCATATCAAAAATTGAAGTTGAAGATCCTTTTAAGGAATGTACTACAAATTGGTATATTGTTTCTTTCAGTTTCACAATTGGAGTGATTCACATGTATTGATCTACATTGCTAAATTGATAAATTTATTATAATCAACATCTTGCAACTTTCCAAATTTCATCGGGACTATACCAAATACATCTCCTAAAAAGAGTAAATTTCAATCTCATCGTTACGGGAATTTTTGGGCAATCCAAAAAAGGAAAGAACTAATATATTTTTAAAAATTCCTCCCGGAGGGGGGGGGGTCAAGGTTATTTATTTATTATATACTCCCGCTTGAAAAGTTTGAGCTAGGTACATATCGTGATCGGGATGTCCGTCCGTCTGTCATACGCTTTGGGGTATTACCCATCTCTTATCCCCAACTCCACTTATACCTCTAGCCTAAATCAAATTTATTGAGACTTTCACAGATTCTTTGTTACAAAGTACCAGTGTGATCTCCTTTGTCACTTTTTCATCGGACACATATTTTCGTTTCTTTTTTAATATTGATCGAAGGATACCCAGTCTTATCCGCAACTCTTCCTATACCACTGAATAAAAATTTAATTTTACCTTCACATTCTTTAATTATTACATAATGTCATTGTGCATCTCGTATTTTACTTTATGATCTGTCACTTTTTTCGGGTTTCCCAGAGCAAAGCATGCACTTTTCCATTATAATCATATGTGATTGGAAGCGGGGGTATCATTCAGTAAGCTCACAGTATTTCTAGTTTGGACTAGACGATAGTTTGATTGGCTAGGTGATTCTCGTGCGATCAAAGTGGCTGCAGTGCAGTTCTTGCAAAGAACCATTATAGGATTTGTAGGAGAATCAAACAACAATATTTTACAAGTAGACTTTTTACATGAATTGAGACATGTGAGAGGGCACATATGTTCTGTTGACTTGATATGTATTACTTTTCAAATCTATAGATTTAGATGTCTGATCATTTAAATTTTATAATTATATACACATATAATAAAACATATGGAGATAACAAACAGTATTTAAGATTAAAAGTCCATAAAACAGTACAAAACAGGAGCAGAGCAAACACGGACCTCCAAAACATCGGATGTGGGATCAGGTGCCATTGAACATTGAGCATCCCTAAATAAAAGGATCAAAGCTTTTCATAAAGCTTGCCTTACGAAAGGCAATCAATAACTTTAGAACTAATAGCCCTTACAGATAATAAAAGTTTTGACCTTCCATTTTTGACTAATATTTTAATAATTTTAATTAGAAACTAGAGGTACCGTGAGTCTCACTGAGTTGAACTAAATGATACCCCTGACTCCCATATGATTATAATGACAAAGTTCATGTTTTGATCTTGGACACCCGAACAAATGTGTCAGATCAAAAAGTAAAATAGGAGGTGCAGAATGGCATTAAGGCCTATGTAATAAAGAAAAGTATAGGATTGCGGATATATGAATTTTTTTTACTGCTTTCTGACCTACCGGCCTAAACTCTTTTACATAATTTCAGATATTTTTTTTCAACATCATTAGCTTTATGTCACCCTCATATATCTGAGGCGTATAAAGTACACTTCTTACGTAAGTATATCAAAGAAGGGTAACTCTATGTTTGTACTTGAATGCATGTACTTTTTATGAATCAGAAATAGTCAATAAAGTTTTTCTATACCTTGAGCTGCGACGTGCACTGTAAAAACTGCGTTTAGAAAATAAACACATCCATTACGTGTTTAGACCTAAACATGTTTAAGATTGTGTTTAACGGCTAATCATTTATATCTAAGCATGTATTATATCTAAACGTGTTTAGATTTAAGACGTGTTTAGATTTTAAGTGTTTAGAAATTGAACACTTTCTTGGACAAATGGATGTAACTTCCCGGAAATGACGCGTAATATTTTTGAACGTTAATAGAGCGGTTATTGAAACAAAGAAAATTCCAGTGTAAGCAAAAGTAGATGGATTAAAGGAAGCGAATCATAACCAAAGTGATAACCACGGAGGGATTGTGAAATGCAGTTGAAAGGCAACAATTCTACAATAAAAGGTCTGTTTACTTTTGTATTTTACATAAATTGACTAGAATGAGAAACGTTGCAATTACACAATTGTAGATCAAGATTTCCTTCATTTATTGTTGCATTCCTGAAAGCTAGAAAGGAGTTTATATTATAGAATGTCATTGAAAATATCTATATCTGTATCTGTATCATTAAATGGATTTCAATAAAGGTTGCATAATGTTAGTTATTTTAGCTATCAGTCAGCAAGGGGCATATTTTTGTTTAATTTCATTTCTTTATAACAGGATATGGTCCAGATTGAAGCAAAAATACACGTCTCAGAGTAGTGGTGTCATTTCCAAGTCCACGCAATTGTTGGTACATCTTCAGGATTTCTTGCATTTAAGAGGAAACTGAATTTTGTGAAGTATACTGTTCGGTATATTTTTAAACAACTCTAAAACATTCGTATGATGGGAACGGATTCCTTCCTGGCAGTTATGGACGAAAACATATGATCGTGTGTTTCTAGTGAAAGACTTACAGGAAAATAATAAGCTTGATTAATTTTTGTTACAGACATGAGGAATAAGTGCATGCTTGATGAGCTGATTAATATTGACATGAGCCAAAATAAATTTTTAGTTTTTAATCGATATGTATTTTAAATTTAAAATTCTTCAAAATAAATCTATGTTTGAATGTTCAATAATGTTATGGTATTTCTAGGAAACTTATTTAATAATGTTTTTCTTAAAAAAAATATGCTTTCCTGCGATAGTTTATAATTTAAACCATTCTGTTGGATCTAATGTTGTGGAACTAAACATGTTTAGCAACTTAACACTTAAATATTGATGTGTTTAGAAATGAGACGCGTTTAGGGCTAAACGTGTAAAAAAAGTGAAACAAAAAATGTGTTTAGATATAAGTGTTTAGGGGTTAAACATGTTTAGCAACTAAACACATGAAGTCTAACGTGTTTAGAAATGAGACACGTTTAGAGCTAAACGTGTAAAAAAAAAGTGATACAAAAAATGTGTTTAGATTTGTGTTTAGATTCTAAACACTGTTTTTACAGTGTGTTTTTGAGTTTTCAAAATTTTTCTTATTTTTTTTTTTTTATCCAAGATAATTAAATTCATCAACAATTTCATTACCATAAGTACATTTTCTCGTCTTTTTGATCTTCTCACCAAAATGCATTCCAAAATCATTCACGTATAATGAGAACAATAAAGGGGTGGGGGTGGGGTTCACCTTGCATCAATCCCATATTATTAGTGAAATATTCACTAAACAAGCCTTTATATTTTTCACAACATTTTATACTATTATACAATGCTTTTTAAAAATGATTTTAAACAGTTTCTTGCTGATTGACTAATTCTTCGTATGATATGTCTATACCCAAATCACTATATCATTATCAAATTCAGCATTAGTTCAAGATACTATAAATGTTTTTAAAAAATCTTCATTGGATAGAGAATAATATATGCGCCTACCTTTCTTCTTATAAATAGAATGAAAATGTTGTAAAAAATGTATTATGTTTTTCTAAAAAAAAAAAAAATCTAGGTTAGTCTACACATCTATCAAAGATATCGTTTGTACCTGCGTTTAAGTTTTGTTCTATGTTCTTTATATAGATATTTTTATTTTTGCCTAGAATTCTCCAATTTTCTTCAGACTTATTGTAATTGAAGAGTTGTAAACTAAGCTTATATTCACTTTTTAAAAATATAAATCTTTACATTCATTAGTAAACCACGGTTTTATCTTCTGTATATGTCTTTAAGAATACTTTGTGTTAAATTTTGATGTTTCAAGGTTAGAGAATTTCCTCAGAATTATCGTATATGTTTGACCAGTTCTTCCTATTGAGAAATTTTCTGATTTATTTTTATAGGATAAACTGGAGGTACAAAACTACCAATGGTTCTAAAAGTATACGTGTATATTGATGTATTCCTTTTAGATTCTTCCAAAATGTATTTTAAAAAAGAATACTCGAGCCACAAACAACACTTAAAATGGCCTTGAATTTAAGGTATATTGGTCGGGTTTTCAAGGCCTCTCCCAGCAAAATGTTATTTTTGTTTATCTTTTCTTGTAATGTATAAATATTAAAGGGGGGGGGGGGGGGGGGTAGTTTAATCATCATCCTGGTGAAAATACATGTAAGGTGTAGTAGAATTTGTACACAGTCTCTGCATACTCTTTTTCATTTAAAACAACAAGAGTTTAATACACACATCATCTTATAAATTATATGGTGAAATTTTTGTTTCTTTTCTTGTAATGTATAAATTTGTACATGTACCTCTCCTTCGGAGGACAAAACTACATTTTCTTTAAACGTAAGTCTAACGCTACGTATCTACATGTATAGTAGGTACACAGTCTCTGCATACTCTTTTTCATTTAAATTTGTATTTCCAAGACAATACACTGGAGTTTGTGATTTTGTTGCCATTACACACATACACCCTCATACTTATAAATTATATGT